TGCTGATCATCTAAAATACGTGTCACAATCATAATATCCTTTATTAATTTTGAATACAACATGTTAAATAGTGTTGAACAGTGTCAATAAATAATAAAAATAATATAAAATTTTTAAGAATCAGCAGAAAAACCTATGCATTTTATAAAAACATTATTATCTTAAATCAGGTGAGTTATAATGATAAAATTTAATATCAGAGTTAGTACGGTGAAAATTCAAAACATTTCATAGTAAATAATTGTTTCAGTATTTTTATTTCAAATGATAACCAAACAGACTATATTTTCTCTAAGAGCTAATAATACTAACAGATACATCTTAGTTATAGCAAACATATTTTAAACCCGTGTTTCAATGCATACGTAGTACTAAGAGGAATCATTGTAGGCGTATAAAACTAATAAATTATCAATTTAACAATTATCAATTATTTGATGATTGTTAATAAGGACGCCACATAGGTGCGTATTTTATATTATTAGATATTATGTACATGTTGAACATATCTACTAAATTGTATAAAAATTTTACTTGCGTTAATGGAAGTTGTGTCAACAGTTGACCTGAACACTGCTCAACTGGCTGCAACTGCACCGTTGTTGACTTGTTGAATGAGTACTCTGTCTTTAGTGTGTTAACTAAGACATTTGATTATTTTTAGTCCTCTTAAATGACTTGCTGTTCCGTATTTAAGCATCTACGCAATCTAGGTGAATCCATACTTCATTCATATTTTGTTCTGACCCTTGCATGTCACGTGATGTCTGGCGATTCTCACCATTCCCCATGTACTCTTCAACCCGGCATCATGTTCTCGCCATTTTTTTTTCTTATTTATTATATTAATGTATATTTCCCCTACTCTATTTGTGGCATATAAATTGAACTTATTATCATGTATCTATTTGTGACACACCTAATAAAAAGTGAACCGTGAAAAGTTAAAAACTGTATATAAACTGTTCTTGGTGTAACTACTGGTCGCGTACGCGAAAGCTGGCCAGCTATCACCAAGACTCCGTTCGTCAACAGTCTATAGAGAACGCTCCAGTAAAAAGGAAGGTACCAATTTATATTTCTTTCCTATTTAAATCTCGTGTGTCTCTAAAGCTGGTCATAATATAATATCTCTTCCCTTTTTTATACAGTCCACAACAAGGACAATTAAAACTTCTCGTTTACCACACTTCTAATGTCATTTGATTTGACACAGCAATTATAAATGTTTTTTTTTTATTCTTGATTATTAGGGTGACAAAAGTAGTATTATGCCATTTAATACTGGCCGTCTAGCTTACTATGAACATGTTATTGCCGTAAACATCGTAATATTTATAATAACTTCATACTACGCCATATTTATATGTTTTCACCAGGTTATGTCTGAAATGATTCACTAGCAAAATAATATATAGAATTATGGTTTTTTAGTAATCAATAAACAGCATACAAATTAATCTAATAAATTATATTGAACAAATAGATAGTGTTTGACACAAACTACCGCTTAGAGAAACTTAACCTTGACAGGTTGAGCTATAAATAACAATCTTCAATCGATAGTTCATCTATTTTTAATCTAGAACGACCCATGGTAAAATATGATACAATGTGGTCGGTGTTATGATAGGCCTGAGTTATAATTTGTTTCAAATAGTATAAGAATTGAATATGTAGGTGCTGTTCATGTTGAGGAGGGTGTAACAAGTAAACAGGGTAAAGAGTGTGGTTACACCATGTTTCTACTTAGTCCATCCTTTAAGATTTGGGTGTAATGGACAGGATGAATTGGTGTAAAGCATCAAGTGTCTGAACATGGATGGTCACTTGGAACATCCAATAAGCAAGTGCCAAAATCCAACACTGAATGAAGCGTCTAGGGATATTATTTTCTCGATGCTAGGGACCACGGCCACCCATTTTGAGTGAGATAAGATAAGGTTGTAGCAGTAATGAATAACGATACTATGTCAATGTAGCTTCAGTTCCATGAAGTGCCTATGTGGAGTTGGTTACTCATTGAACGCGGTACAAGCCCGACAAGATGAACAACATGTTAAAAGCCTTACATTGTTATAGCTTGTATAAAGGACAGCTTTTAGCTAAAGACTAAACTCCCCTGCATTATCTGGGATAGCTACAGTTTACACCTTCATAAACAGCTTACGTAGGGTTGTAAAATTGCTCAAGCTACGACTTTTTTATTATTAAGTCTGTTTTAGTAGGTGAATACTCATATGATGAATATAAACAATCAATAACAATAAATCAATACAATAAAATCATTGCTTTCATTTATATTATTGTAAAATTTAGCAATATTCCATATAAAATAACACTTTTATAATATCAACTTTCTTGGGCCCGTGTTGACTAATTTACTCCAAACTAAATTTAATCGCTAATTAAATTAACTCAATTAACTTCACATTGAATGAATAGTCTAGCTGAATCGAAAGAACAACCTTATTTTTTCAGTTAAATTTCAAATAAGTATTTCATTCTTTATGTAAATGTTCTGGGGAAAAACTACCATCAGAATAAGTAAGTAAATATAAGTATTGATTTACTGACGGTTTTTAGGTAAATTAAATCGCTAACTCAAGCAACAACAAATATAAAGAATTTCAACATTTACGATTGTTGATAAATGCACCAGTTTACCATGTTCAACTTAACGATTCAACTATCAAACAGTTGATAATACTTTAAGCCAAGGTCAGTTATAAAACACCAAACTCAATTGATACTTGACTTTTTAGAAGCCAATAGTAAATCAGCTGCTAAATTTAAGTGGTTCTCTGTCGCTGATTCCTTCTAACGAAGTACCAATCTAATTATGATTGCAGCTTTGTAAATTATGACAGGTTTTTTGTTGTAATTTTTTGTCTGATTACACTTGACAATGTGCAAGTTCCGAGTTGAATGTGTAAACGTTTTGAAAAGTAACTAATTCTGGAACTTTTGAAATTCTGGAAAATGTTTCCATAGGTTCCACCAATGTAAGAGTTAATGTAAATTTTAGCTTCCGATTTACAATATTGTAAAATAATGAGAATTGTTTTTATAATTTATAATCCCAAATTCAGCAAACGTGGCTCACTTCAATTATATCGTCACCAATCATTGTTTATTTCCATAAAACGGTTTACATACAAGCACTGAACACTGCAATGTTTCTCGATTATTAAACTTAAGCTGCAGTAAGCACCAGGCATGAAGATAAGTCTCCAGAGATAAATGTTGAGTTTTGAAACTTCCTTACACAAGAAACTTAACAATCACTTGGGATTTGTATGCAAAGCCCTGAAACACGGCATATGCTGAGATAATGTACAGGATCGTTGTCTTAACACCTTCTTATCTTACTTTGTGTAGTGTACGTGCAACAATATTGTAGGTTACTTTATCAGATACGTATGCTTTTCATTTGTTTTTGTTTGGACGTAATTTCTCTTGTAAAAATAAAAACCCCATTTCTTTGGAATAGTTGAGTTTTCAAATCTATAAGATAAAATCGTACTACTTTATGAATTCATAGTGACACGTTAAAAGTTTTACATAACACAAAAGATGATTCGATATAGACAAATTCTATACCATTGTAAATATTAAGTATTTATAACTGTTAAAAGTATTCTGTTTCTAACATTTTCAAAACGCTATAACAACCATCAAAGGTTATTGACAAAACTTTATCAAAGTATTCGCCTAATATAAAATACTAGGCAAAGCTAACAAAACACAACGTATCCTATATTATTTATTTTATACAATATAAAATTACAAAATTAAATTTGACCATGCTAACTTGTAATATACCTATGCAATTTTATAAAATACAAGTACAAAGAAAACCCTTAAATATTCGTTTGTAAGATTAATACGAGAATGTTGTGAAATATTAACATATATATTTAGAAACAATAAATAATCTACTTAAAAGATAAGTAGTAAGTAGCAAGTAATAATATTGTTGCCGTTAATTAATTCCGGTATCTTTTTTTCGTGATGGCATTATCAATGTTATTCTTGGTTTGATGGCTACTTATCACTAAATTAAAATTATGCACAATTTACTAGAGAAATGTGGAGGTATATTTCGAGTTTTCTCGAAATATGTCTCAGAAATTTTTTTCGTTAGTGATAAGTAGCCAACAAACTAAGAATAACGTTGTTGTTGTTATAGTTTTTGGCCACTACACCCGTATTGTAGGCTACTCGCTTTTCCCCCTAAACACTGCCTTTATTTGTACCAAAATTTATACAAAATTATATAAAGAAGCCAATTGAAATATACAGTTACATACGTTGATAAATACAAATTGATATTCACCTTTTATTTTTTAACACTAATCCTGGGCCAGTCTTTAGATATTTAAAGTCTTAGCTTCACGGTATGTCAGGTATATTCAACCCACTTTCTTCTGACGCAATTCTTTTGTATGCAATGTACCAACAACGTTGAAATAGTGACGTAATATGAGATATAATTTATTAGAAAACTATTTTCAATATTTCAAACCTGAATCTGAAAATTCGGAATATGCCTTCCATTGAAAGAAAAAGATACATTACATTTGAATTATAAATTATTGCAATCTAACTAATTAAACATCTGCTTTTCACTATAACTTAGATAATTTAAAGTGTATTTATTAATTATTTTAATGCCACATTCTTCACCTAGACGTAAAATGAGCATATTTAAAGGGCTAAAGCTATTAATTAATTAAAATTCAAAAACTCAAACTCCATGAGATCCATCAGTTCAAAAACATCATTGCATCCAAAGTGTCTGTATACTGTATATATCTTTTATAGACATCCCATGAAGAAATTACTAATTGTTTAAGAATTCATGCTCCCATTTGACTCACATAATATTTCTATAATTAAATCGATAACAGATATAATAGCTATCAAAATAAACAACTCTATGACTTCTCTATCTTGTATAAAACATTCAAATATATAAGGAAAACTGTCAAACATACGCCCCCTTGTGTCTTCCGATACCCTTTTGTTGTTGAAGTCCAAAGTGTTTGTAGGAGTTGTGGAAGCAGGGTTGTTATTGTTGTTGATATGTTTATAACAAGTTTCACTTGAATGTTGTTTTTGGTTGGATGTGTCAAGTGATGGATTAAGCAGCATATCACATTCCTTGTCGGAGTCGAAAGTTTCGGTAATCGCAGAGGCTCTTGCAGTAGACTCATCATTTTCTATGACGTCAACACAAGGCATTTCACTTGCAGAGTTGGAAGTGGTCAAATGAAGAGTAGAAACCACATCACTGGCATTGTTGGAGTCCAAATGTTGGGCAGTAATAGTAGATGCATTGGCAGTAGGCTCGTCATTTTTGGTAACGTCAACACAAGACGTTTCACTTGTTGAAGTGGTAGTGGCAAGGATAAGAGTAGGAACCGTATCACAGTCATTGCTCGGGTACAATGATTCAGGAGTAATCTTAGACGCTCTAGCAGCAGGCTCATCATTTCCAGTGACGTCAACATATAGCATGCCCCTTGTAGTGGCCCAGGTAGTGGCAAATATAAGAGCAAGAACGGTATCACTGACATCGTTGGGGTCTAAAAGTTCAGCAGTGATCGTAGAGGTGTCGGCAGAAGACTCCTCATTTTCATCGTCGTCAATATAAGGAATTTCACATCCAGAACTGGTAGTGGTAAATAAAAGGTTAGGAACCGTATCACTGGGATCTTTGGGGTAATTACTGAAGTTCAAAGGTTTGGCATTTGTTGTAGATTTTTTGTCAGTAGCCTCATTATTTTTAGTGATGTCAACGTAGGGCATTTCACTGTTAAAGTTGGTATTGGTAAAGGTTAAAGTAGGAACCGTATCACTGTAACTGTCGGAGTCATTGTCGGACTCCAAAGGTTTCACAATGATCGTAGAGGTGTTGGCAGTAGGTTCGTCATTTTCAGTTACGTCAACATAAAGCATTCCACTTGAACAGTTGGTGGTGGCAAAAGTTAAAATAGGAACCGGATCACGATAAATATTGGAATCATTGTCAGAGTCATTTTCGGAGTCCAGGGGTCGAAGGATCGTAGAAATGTTGGCAGTAGGCTCATAATGTTCAGTGACGTCAAAATAAAGCATTTCACTTGAAGAGTTGGTGGTGGCAAAAGTTAAAATAGGAACCGGATCACAGTAAATATTGGAATCATTGTCAGAGTCATTTTCGGAGTCCAAGGGTCCAAGGATCGTAGAAATGTTCGCAGTAGGCTCATAATGTTCAGTAACGTCAAAATAAAGCATTTCACTTGAAGAGTTAGTGGTGTTGAAAGTTAAAATAGAAACTGTATCACAGTAAATGTCGGAATCATTGTCGGAATCAATGTTGGAGTCATTGTCGGAGTCCAAAGGTTTGACAATGCTCGTAGAGTGGTTGTCAGTAGGCTTATGATTTTCAGTTTTTTGAACATAAAGCATTCCACATGCAGAGCTGGTAGTGGCAAAGATAAGGGTAGGGTCAGTTTTGCTGTCATTTTTGAAGTTATTGTTGGAATTCAAAGGTTCGGCATTTGTTGTAGACTCTCGGGCAGCAAGCTCATAATTTTCAGTGACGTCAACGTTAAGCATGCCTCTTGTAGAGTTTGTGGTAGAAACTGTTTCAGCACTCGTCTCATCACTGGCAGGACAGGACATCAAAGCAGGAGCATTACCAGGTTTAGCAGTCATCAACGCATCTCTTTCATACTCCAAGTTGTTACCTGGAAAACGTTAAGTTTTAATCAAATGATTTTGTTACCTTACAATATCCTTGTTTGATGTTGGTAAACAAACTACAGTACATGTTTCGTAGCATCTGCCACATCATCAGGTTTATCCTCTTCTCAGGTTCGTCAGAGATTTAAAATAGAAAACACAGAACACATGTAAAAAGACGTAACATTTATTTGCTCAACCGTCACGGTGCGTGCACGCATTTGGTCGGTGACTGGCATAGTGGCATTGCAGTGTCCAGTTCAAGGCCACGTGACGTGTCGATCAGCTGATTCCTGGTTTACTCTAATTATTGTATCAAACAGTGCGTTGGCCTGGGTATTTAGTGTGTCATTTAAAACGTTGTTGCCAACGGATTTTGCTGCTTTGTAAATTTCGACATTTTCTAATGCTGTTATTTTGCTTCTGTTGTTGCGTCTATCGACAATTTGTAGGTTTTCGTCTATTTTAAAATAAATATGATTGGTGTTATTTAAATGATCTGCATAATTTGAAGTTTGGATAATTTTTTTAGGCAGGTGTTAAGCTTTAATTCTAATATACAAACCAGTATTTAATAGAATTTGTCTTTTGAAATATGTATGGGGTTTTAGATTTATTGGGATAGCATCATTAATGCATAGCCCAATGAAAAATGGCATCTGGGTCGAACCAGCGTTCTTCATATTCGAAGGCGAACACTATAATTAAAGGCTACCCAGACATGACTAATATATCTTTGAGTATTTGAATATTTTACTAATAAGGACCGTAAAAGAATACATCCAAGTACATCAATTCATAGAGTTATTATCGTTGATCCTGCTGTCTGTCATATTATTAATTGGTTTTGTTTACATTAATTTGTAAACTTGTTGGACATGTAGAAACTGAACAAATTATATACCAAATTAAAAACACGATTTTTCTAGTAACAAAATTCCTGAGGATAGCAGGATTATATATGACAAATTGAAAAGCTTTAGTTGTTTTGAATCATTTTCAAAAATGAAATAATAATAGTTTATTTGGCTGTAGATAACTTTAAACAATCTAACTATTGATGTCAGTGCTATCTGAACCATAAAAATGATATATTTTATAACAAAAATTTCATATTTTAAAATGCCTGAAGTACCACAAAATGTTTTAAATATTAACATTATTATTTATGTATCCAATCAAAAGAGAAATCAAGAATCGGGGAATTCATTGGGTGTACTCAAGGAGAGAGTCATAACTATTTTTCAGTGCGCTGCAGTGGTTAGTTTAAGATAGCTTATTCTGGTTAATTTGAGATAATAATGATTTCATAACGTGTGCATTTTACAAAATCTTCCCTTGAAAAGGAGTACGAAAAAAAGCTGTATTGTTTTCAGTTCCGTTTCGTTGGCAAATCATACTAGATCATTTTTTTTTATTTTTAACTTTTTTCTTATTATCAAAACCTAAAGTAAGCTAAACTAAACCTGACCTAACCTAACTTAACAGCCGTGGAACAAAAATGTGACTGTCCTCTTCTTGCAAAGACCCTAATGTTTGATTAGATGTGAGTTCATTATTTCATTTTACTTAAATGGTTGTCTTGCCATTTTATTTCAAATCGACCAAATTGAGCTTGACAAATTTCTTGTATTGAATAAATAACTTATTCAACATTAATCAGAGAATTCTCTTATATTCAATATTTTGTAGTGCTCATAAACAAAGTAAACTGACTATTAAGTAACACCTTTGGTTATTTTGCTGCTTAATGATTTAAAAGTATCATGAATGATCCTTAATTTATAATTTACAAGAATATGTATTATCTGATTATATTTTCCAGTTGATTGATGTAGTAGGCATTAACATTTATATTAAGTGAGACTTTGAAACACTCCTCTTTAGGTTGATCGTGTGCTGCAACTATTGCATGATGATATGATTTCTTAATATCAATTATTTTAATCACATTTTCCACTTGCTAGATAGCCAATTGAACATTTATAACTCATAAACACAACCATAAAAATATCAACAAATGCAAATATTCAGGTAAGACATAGTTCTATAAGTTAGTTTGAAAATGAATTCCAACCTCAAGATTAGATGTTGCAATTTAATGCCAACCACCTACAATTTGACATGAATACCTCAGTAAAAACCACTTTTCAATGAGGAATTTTCTAAAAAACTTAAGACTGTAAATGATAACTAGTTAGCCGTAACACGGATTTCATTAAAATGCGTGGCTATAATGAATAATTACGAAAATCCAGCTCAGTTGAACTAAAGACTAACTAAAGAGACTAATTTAACTAAATTAACTAATTTAACTAAAGAGAAGTCTTTTAACCAACATATATAGTAAAGCGCAATGAATTACGTTAAAAACCATTTCTACAATCTAACTATTTTAAGAAGAAATATTTCTAGTTTGATTTGCGGAATTTAGAAATTTGGAGGTTACATAACCGTGTCAAATACTACTGTTATGAAACTAGCTCAGTTTATGGTTTTCTTTAAATGTATCGATTTTAATAGCTCACTACTAATCAAACTACAAGATTTCTCCACCAAATATCTTAAAGAATTGAGATAATACTCTAAAATTGACTTCATCGAGATAGTAAAATAATTATAAATCAACAGTTCAAGAAAAATATATGAACTACCTTACCTATAGGGCCCAACAGTTGCATAATAATGAAAGTAAACGTATAAAAAACAACAAGACCAACAAAGAACTTCCAGTTCTCCATGATCACGGTGTAGCCTTCTCACTCACTTGTGACTAACTGTGCATAAAACACCTGGTACTTAATGTTCAACCATTGTGGCTTATCAATCACAATAGGTCTTATGAGGAATGACTGTAAACATATCGCTGGAACCATAACTCGATGGCCACGTGACCCAAGAATGTCACGTAGGACTTGAAACTACCTTTGTGTTCAAACTGCAATGCAAAGTTTCGAAATACATGTACAAAAAGGAGTATAGTAAATGAATTTGGACACTATATGTACAAATTAGTTATATAGAAAATAAACATTATATGGAACATTAAATAAATAGCTTTATTGAAAACTACTGTAGATGTAAAAAAGTAAAAACATAGTTTTGAAATATTTCATGGGTGCATACTATCCGAACTGACGATTATATTTTTTACCATTACATTCAATATTTAACGCTTTAAAGTACAAACATAAACTATATAATTCATAGTCTTAAACTTTGGTCCACAATCTACTGTGGTTCGCCATAGTATTTTTTAAAATTCCATTCTCAAAGGTCAACCGTATATTTCTAAAAAGAAAATATAGTTTTAGACCTTGTAAACATTGTGTTTATGATATTTCAGCTCTTATGACTACCATGACGGACTGTAGTTTTTTCAGGGAGAGGAGGGAAACAGTTTTTACACACACAGAGGGCCGTTGTACACACACACATATGGTATTGTGAGCCTCCTGAATCTACCAATAAAACCCCAATAAAAACCCCCTCTACTCTGTTAGACACATACCTGGGATTGTTTGTCACTTTACTTCAAGTCAGCCAACATGTAACCTAAGCCCTCAGGGCTCGCAAAATTTATGGCATTCAGATTCTTAAGACCTACACCGCATCCCGGTCAAGGTCAAGCTTCTTGGCACGGAGAATACCATGGATGAAATGTGTAAGTGCCATGGTGCCAAAGTGTTAAGGTGTAAGAAAGTGTCCTAACTTTACCTGTGTAGGCTAAATAAAAAAAGTGTTTAATTTAATTTCAAGTTTGACGTGTATGGATCCAGCAACCATCAGGACCGCGGGTCGGAAACTGTTCGGTAGGTGGATGCTACCCAAGCTCCTTTCACACTATACGATTTTACTCATTTTTTGCTGCTTTAATTATTTACAGACGGAGAAAAAGAAAGAAACGCGACCGTCTCCACTGGGTACGTCCTATAAATATAAAACGCGAGGAAGTGGGGATATACAATATCATCTGTACCAATGTTTTAGAGGTTAAGTGGTAGAGAGAGAGGACTTGTAAGTCCTAGCTTCGGCACTTAAATAATGAAATTTTTCATTTAATTTTATCTGTAATAATTTGATGCATGACACTGCTACTTTAATCATACAAGAGCAGTATCGATTGCAATTTCTCAAACTCGCCAATACTCGCTCCCACAGTAACGTAGCAGTTACCAGTTTTGTTTGTGGCAGTGCAGTAACCGTTCGCAATACAATTTCACGAGCCATTGACTTCGCGTATTACACATGTCTCAATGACAGGCTATTCGGGTTTCGCGGAGTTTCAAATAATTTAATCTTTTTTGTCAGGAAATTAAGAAAATGAATCGAATTAGATAGTTGAACATTATCAACTTGAGAGAGTCTTTTTTTAATGAGCTAAATCTATCTACAGTATATTTTTTTTAATTTTTGTAAAAAAATTATGCCTGTTTAAATTTATACCACCCTGATTTGCCTTTAGTAGGTCTTATCTAAATCACCCACATTTTTTTGTCTTGTTGGATATTTATTGGTTCCAGAATATTCATTTTGGTTATAAATCAGCAAACAATAAAGTTATAATAGACCTGGAAACCCCTTCCAAGTCCTTGCCAAAGTAAACTAAAGTCGAGCATCAGTATGGCGTATTACGCATTAAAATATGACTTTAGAATTATTTTTGCAATACTGAAAGAGTGAATGAAATTATTAAATGATACTAAAGGGGGTGTTTTGTCTTATAATCTAAAGTGGCTGTAAATGGGGTTTATTATTGTCATTGGGATGATGTCGTACTCCTTGTGTTAAAGGACGGGAAACTGCCGTATTTCAGTTTATAGCTTGCTTACGGACAACCCTAAGTAACACATAAACTTAGATGCTATGGTTTACAACATCACTACCGCATGGAAATCCTCTTGGTAGTTTGGTTGTAACGAAAATTGTTAAAACGACATTTGAAAGGTAGTATCTAAACTTCTTTATTTGTATACAGTAGGTATTGTTTAGGTATACAGTAGTT